TAGAGCACCCTGAGGCAGGATGTGGGTGAGAGGGGACAGGCTTGGCACCAGGTACTTGCCCCCAGGCCACTTTGTGGTTGCTGTGTACTTGGATGAATTGCTTCTCCCGTCTGGGTCTCTTGCCTGTCCTCTGTCCTCTGGGGCTCCTGTTTCAGCTCCTCCCTCCCCCCTTCATTAGCAGAAGCATGTGTCTGATGTGGACAGCTTGCTGAGTTCAGGTACATTTCAAATTTCCCTCATGAGCACCGCGTAAAGACAGGGGACGTCCCAGCTCGTGAAGGTCCTGCCAGGCCCTCTGTGCTGGGCCCTTCTCCTTGCCTGCTCTTCTTTCAGGCTTGCACGTGTCCTTTCTAGATGTGGCCGGCACCTGGCCCCCGTGGCTGTTTGGTGGCACGTGGAGGCTCGGTGGCTGTGTGTGGGGAGGTGTGACCACCTTGGGAGGTGGCTGTGTTTGCATAGGTAACTTCGTGGTTTTCGTCCACGGTGCATATCAGTGTTTCCTCACAGCCTCCTTCTGGTCTCCACCTTGCTCCCTGGTCCGGCTCATCTGGCCAGCAATGTTGCTTGGTTTTTGCCTCTTTCTGCATACCGAGCCAGCGGTGGTGGCAATCCTTCCTCCTCCAGCCAAGCCCCAAAGCCTGACTGCTCAGCAGAATCGCTGGCGCGGTGCAGGCGGTGCAGGCGGTGCAGGCGGGGGCAAGGGGTTGTTGTGAGATTTTTTTTGTCTTTGGTGGGATTGGGGTTTGAATTCAGGGCTTTGCACTTGCAAAGCAGGCGCTTTTCCTCTTGAGCCACACCTCCGGTCCATTTTGCTCTGGGCATTTTGGAGACGGGGGTCCCTTGAACTGTTTGACTAGGCTGACCTCAAACCGCGATCCTCCTGGTCTCAGCCTTCCACGTAGCTGGGGTTACAGGAGCCTGGCTTCAAGTTGATTTAGAGGTTGATGCTCAATGCAGGCATTTGGGGGACATTTTGTAGACTTCACACCCTGTATCAGAAGTGTCCATGACCTTTGTGGCCTTTGGGAGTGGCAAGTATCCTGTATAGGGGCTCCCAGGACCACCATGTGTTACCTGCCATCTTCACCTGCCTGTGTGTACCCTGGAGGAGCAGACCCCCAAAATAGGGTGAGGAACAGCCTTGGCATCTGGTCACCTGTGTTGCTCTGTGGCGCCCTGTGCATGGCTGGGGCGTCTGTGAAGTGTCAGGTGGTTGGATCCAGAGGAGGACACTTGTTTAGAGGGTGCTAGGAGTCACTTTGAGGCACAAAGGATGTGAAGAGGTGGCTCCTAAAGGGCATGGGGAGAGGTGAGTGGACACAGGTGGAAGGGGTGGGCTAGGGGCAACTGCTGTTTCACTGGCTGTGTGTGGCACCACTGTGAGCCTCAGTTTCCCATTCTTTGGCTGAGGAGTGAGGGAAGAGGACCTAAGGTCCTTCCGGCCAGCCCTGCCGTCTGTGCTGCTGTCAAGATAGGAGGAGCCAGCGGAATCCCGGCTCTCCAGCCACCCAAGAACACCTTCTCTGGGCTCAGCTTCAGGGCAGCGTGGGCTGCAGTGGGGACCAGATTCCGCCGCTTGTCAGCTGCAGGGCAGGGGCTCTTGCATGGTGAGGGGAGCAGAGCCAAATGCAGCAGCACCAGCTCCCCCAGCTGGTAGTGGGACACCGAAGGCCCATGTGAATAAGAATCCATCGATGCACCTGGAGGCAGGGCACCGGGCTTCTCCTGGAGAGAGAATTTGGGATCTGGTCTTGTGGGACCTTCAGCATCACCACAGCTACGTGTAGTGTTGGAAACGTTTAAATGCCTGTCTTGGTCGTCAGAAGAGAAAAACCTTCAGTAAAGACTGAGGTGGGACTGTTAATTTCATGCAATCTGATGTCCCCCTGAGAATGAGTGAAACCTTAAGGTCACAGAGGCCTCTGAGCGCAGTGGACTGTGCTAGGACATGTGATCTGCACCTTGTTTTCCCATAATAACAGAGTCCTGGGGGACTTGTCACAGGCCTCTGTAGGCAGTGACAATACAAACATGTCTTCTTCAAGCAAAATCATCTCCACTCTGTTCTGCTGGACAGAGAGAAGAGGACCTCTGTCAATGCAGAACAAGGTGTGCATGGTGTCCTGTGTGGCGTGTGTGACGTCCTGTGTGTCACGTCAGAGTGAACTTGCCTGCAACACTTTCAGAGATGGCTAGGTTGCTTTCCTACATTTCTTTGGATAACTTGGAGCCACTTATTTGCTAATCGTTTGGTTTTAAACATATCTCTGAAAAAGCATGGGGTTTGGGGTTGCTTTTATTTCATAGCTGGAGACAGATGTCTTAGACCTTATCATACTTATTTCTTCATTGACATCTAATAGCTAATCGACACACACATCAAGTGCCCTTATTTAGACAGCCATATGTAGCCATCACAAGGCAGGAGGACTTTGGACTTCCTTCTTAGGTTCTCACCCTGGCTTCCTACCTTGGGCGCACGCCACCCCTCCCCTGTGCTGCTGGGCTGGGTGCTGAACCGAGAAACTGTCAGTTCTCAATTCTGCTTTCTGGCTCTTAGGCTCCTGTGCTCCTTGTGTGTGGTTCACACGTCCTGCGGAAAGTAGGGGGGTCTCAGGGCTGTTTTGTGCGTCTGGGCAGGTCTCTCTCAGCTCAGCCCATGGGCTTACCTTAAGACATTAAGAAGCTGATATAAGGAAGGAGGATTCAGTGAGAAAAGGTGTGAGGCTGTGCCTGGTACACGTCAACTACTGCATAAATATTAACCTTCTCTCTCATTCAGGGTCACTGTTCTCAGCGGCTTGGCTTAGCAAACGCTTTCTCTCTGTGCTGTAAAACGTGACCTTGAGGCTTCTCCTGTCTTAGTCTTCTTGCTGGTTTGGCAACTCTTAGGTTTTGTTTTTTAACTGATGTGAAATTCACTTAATTTAAAATTAACCATTTACAAATGCACAATGACATTTAGTGCATTTAGTGTGGTGAAGCCACCAGCCCCATTTAGCTCCATCTCCCCAAAAGGAGATGCTGTGCACTACCACACCAGCTTCGGTATGGTTGCTCTTTTTTGTTTTGGCACGGTGGTACTGGGAATTGAGCTTGGTAGATGGTGACTCTTAGGTGCCAGACCTTGGCGTTGTGTGACATCGGGCAAGCATTGCAGTCCTCAGCCTTTCTTTCCTCATTTGTAAGCTGGAGATAATATTGATCACTTTAGGTGATATTTTAAAAAATAATACTGAGGAATAAGATTGATTGTCTTGTAGGATGTCTTATAAGAACAGGTTTAATTTGCACACCATGAAATTAACTTGTCCTTTTGTAAAGTTCAGTGATTTTTAGTAGATTTGCAGAGTTGTGCAACCTTCACTACCTCTAATTTTAGAACACTCTGTCATTTCCTGTTTCCCATCACTGGGTCCTGTAACCATGAATCTGCCTTCTGCCTCTGTCGATTTGCCTTTTTTGGACATTTCACGTAAGTGAAGTCAGACGATAGGCAGCCTTTCATGTCTGGCTTCTTTTGCTCAGCATATTTTCGGCTCATCCGTGTAGTAGTGTGTGTGTGAGAACCCCATTCTTTTTCATGACTGCATAATACTCCAGTGTTTGTTGCCCACTCATTTGTTAATGGACATTTGGGTTGTTGCCATATTTTTGGCAGTTATGAATGTTTGTGTGACTGTTTTCTTTTCCTTTTTTTTTGAGGTACCAGGGTTTGAGCTCAGGGCTTTGTGCTTGCTAGGCTGGCAGTCTACCACTCAAACCATGTCCCCAACCCTCATTTCTCTTGGGTAGATCTCTAGGAATACAGATGTGAGTCGCATTAAAGGGTTCGAGAATTACACTTGGTACTGTGGGTTGGTCTCAGAATCACACACAGGGGCGGGCACACTTAGTACTGAGCACTGGTGGATGTAGCTCAGTGGTAGAGCACTTGCCCAGCAAGACGGAGGCCCTGGGGTCCATCTGCAGTGCTTGGAAAAGGGAAAAAAAAACAGCCTTTGTTTGCATTATTTTGTTCTGGTCTTTCTTGTGCGTGTTGTTTTCTAACCTTTAGACTTAATTGATTTCTTGGCAACTTTCTCTGTCATCTCTTGAAATTTCCTTTGTTTATTGAAGTCTTATGAGCCACATACAAAATAACTGTTTATTGTCCTGGCTCAGGATTGTCTGAAAAGACCAACTACCTTCTTCAAAGTAAGCATCTACTGAGTGCCTCGTGTGTGCCAGGTCAGTGGGTTACATGGGCAAAACCTGGCACCTCAAGAGGCAACCATGTCTGCATCCATTTTCCTTACCCTTATACCCCATAACCCTGTGTCCTGTTTGCTGAGTGAATGCAAACAAAACCCCTGCCTTCAAGTAACTGGGTGTGGCTGGAAATCCCAGTATATTCACTCCAGGGCTGAACCTTGGCTGGGACCAGAATCCCCGGTGGCTTTATGATGGGTGGTGGCTTCAGCCAGCTTGTGAGAGCCGATGTCATCTGTCTTCACCCCACGTGATGGCAGCTTGAAATCAGCTTCTGAGGATATTTATACCACGGGAATGGCAGCAGCTACAAACCAGGGGGAGCGTCCTTCCGTCCTCCCTCCCTCCCTTCTAGCCTTTCTTTTTTCTTTTTTGGTGTTAAACTCTTACCAGCGCCCCTACCTGCCTTCTCAACTTCTTCTGTAATTCCCCCACAAGGCGAGTGTTTGTAGATGAGGAAGTCGAAAAGACGAGTAACAGAGTTGAAAGGGACTTGCCCAAGGTAACACAGCCAGGAAATGACAGGGCCACAAGTGTGACTCTGGTCCACCTCCACAGTCATGGACGCCACTGTAACCCACTCTCCGATCTCAGTGTGCTATCTGACACGTGACTCTGCTGTCAAATCTTCATTTTGATGCTTCTTGCTTGTTTTTGGGTACCAAGACTTCCTGCTGTGTTGCCCCGGCAACGCTCAGATCTACCTCTTCCTCTTGAACTGAGCGCTGCCTTTCCATTCATCCTTGCAGAATTTCGCCAAGGAGTTTGTGATCAGCGATCGCAAGGAGCTGGAGGAAGACTTCATCAAGAACGAGCTGAAGAAGGCAGGGGGAGCCAATTATGACGCCCAGACGGAGTAGGCCCAGCACCCCGTCCCCCCCAAAGCCTTCTGCTGCTCCACGGAGGAGGGGACCTCCGGCCCCGCTACCAGCCCACAGCCCACCAGGGAGAGAAGCAAAGAGAGGCGACGCCCCTCCTGTGTCTGCAACCTGAGTCCCCTTCCCTGCCTCCTCCTGACCCGGCTGTGTCCTGCTTCATGACGCTCATGAGACTCTTTCTTGGTTCCTCTATTTCTTTTCTCACTCTTTTTCATTCTAAAGAAAAATCATTTTGATGCCACAGTCACACCTGCCATCAGATCTGAGGGGCCTCATTTCTCTTGCATTTGCTGTGGCCTGCCTGGTCTGAGCCCCTGCGGCCTGCCCTTGCTGCTAGGGCCTGGCCTGGGCACCATCCTGGTTTTCCTTGACCACCTCCTGCTTACTGCTAAGCCAGCTGCTGTGCCAGGAGCTGTGCCATCGGCTGCAGCCATCATGAGCACATACTTTCACCCCACTAGTCAGACCAGACCTTCTAGAATTTGATCCAGGGCCCCGCACCCCACCTCCATTCCAAGTTGCCTAAACTACCTGTCCTACAGAGTCAGCATTGCCCTGTGGTGGGAAGCTTAGGTCTGGTTTGGACTGAGTAGGAAGTGGTCAAAATTGCCTTAAAACTCACTGGCAGTGGCTTTTCTGGGTGATCCAAAGATAGCCTTTTGATTTACATCGCTGCCTAGCATTGAGAACAGTCTGGGTCATGGTGGGATGGGAAGAGTATTTCAGGGTTAACCTCAGAGACTCCCCATTTGACAAGACTGTGGGGAGAATGTGACTTTAGGGCCTGTGGAAACAGCAAGGCTAGCAGGGGCCAGAGGGCCTTCCCGGCCCTCTTGGGACCAGAAAGTGCGTGGCTTGAATCCTGGGTCCGCACTGCAGTCAGAAGGATTGCTTCGTTTTGTTTCTAAAGAAAGATGTGATTGGCTTGGTTCTTTGTGGGCACATTTTGTAAAATTCTTTTTCCTGATTTCCTTGCTCCTTTCATTTTGGGGAAGAAAACTGTACTGTACTGGGGTTGTAAAGCCCATCTCTGGCACTCAAACAGTTTACAGAAATAAATGTTTTTTTTCAAAAAGAGGCTGGATTTTCTGACTTGTCTTGCTGAGTTTCTTCACTATAAAAACAAAGGCAGTTGTCCTTGTATTCAGACTCAGTAGGTATTTAGGAAGCTTGAGGACCAGTACCTTTTAAATTCCTAACAGCCATGAACAATAGCTCGTTCAACTTATGGAAACTGAGGTTCAGAGAGGTGAATTCCCCCTGAAGTCACGAGGGAGAATGTGGCAGAGCTGGGATTTGAACCCAGGTCTTCTGAGGCTCAGGCCTGCAGCTTGGGATGTGACATGGCAAACAGACAGCAAGCAGGTGACCAGCATCCTCCTGGCTTTTCAGGAAAGCCAAGAGGAAGTGTCTTCCTGGGGCTGGCTGACATCCTTTGTCCTTGGGCTGTGAAATTGTATTTCCAGGACCCATCCGTTTTGGGCTTGCTATCAGGCTGGAGGTGTTTCAGACACTGGCAGAGGGTGCTGGGAGAGGCAGAGCCAAAATCAGAGCAGAAGGAGCTCCTACGAGGAGCAGGCAAGGTCATGACGGCTCAGTGGCATGGGGTCCTGGGGGCCCCCGGGCACATCTGGGTTCTAATGGCTATGCATCTGCTCATAGCTACCAGGCTTCAGAGGTCAACCCCTCTGAATCTTGCTTTGCTCATCAGCAAAATGGGCAGCAGTACTGCCACCGCTTAGGAGGCTTCACGAACACTATGGTGGTGGACCAGGCGTCTGGTACGGCGGGAGGCTCTGTGTTCTTACTCACCAGGACTTGTTAGCTCTGAGACTTGTTTTTCCCTGTCCCTGGGACAGAGGGAGCTAAATCAGTCACTGTCTTCCCAGAACAAGTGCTTTCTGTGGTCGGAGAACCTGGGATCTGGGAACATGCCATGTCTTCTTGTCCCTCATGCACTGCCACTGTCACCTCACTCTGGTGCCCCAGGCCTTTGATCTTCTGGGAAGCCAGCCCACAGTGGCTGCTCTCCTGGGCTCTCCTCCAGGCTCATAGCCCCCATCTCAGTCCCTACCCCAAATAATTAGGAACTGATGGTCTCTCAGACCCCTCCTGGGCCTCTATCTCATCCTTGGCTGTGAACAAGGATCAGTTTTGGAAGTACAGAGGCCTCCATCCCAGACCAGGCAAACCAGAGTCCCCGACTCTGACCAATCCCACTTTCTGCCACCTCTGTCCCTAGGGTTGTGGAAGGGGCAGTGTCCCTAGTAGGTTGGCATCTGTCTCTGGCCAGTTCCTCTTGTAAGTGGAATATGGAATGGTGAGTGCTGACAAATATTTCTGGAACACCTTCTGTGTGCCAGGCACTGGCCAAGGTAGGGGGTACAGCAGGAAGCCTGTGCCACCAGTGGGCACACAGGTACAGAGAAGTTCTTTTTTGGAAAAGCCTGGGTCCTAGGAGAGACCAAAAGGCCCAGCAGCTGGCCAGGCATCCAGGAGGACTTCTCTGGGGAGGTGGCACCCGAGCTGAGGACTCTGGGACAGGAATGACACTGGTGAAGGGGTGAAGGGACAGGGAGGTGACATGGCTGTGGTACAGTTTGCTGAGGGAGAGCCTGGGGGGCGGGCCTAGATGTGAAGCGGAGAACCTGGGCATGTCAGAGAACCCTAGTGAGGGCCTTGACTGATGGCCATTGCAAGTTCTGCAAAGGCAGACCCCCTCACTCAATGCCTCCAGGCCACCTGGTGATGCTGCCCAGGGCTGCCCTGCCTCTCCTGCCTGCCTCTGCCTCCTCAGGTTGGGTGGGGTCTGGGTGCTTGACTTCGCTTACTCATTGGTCATTTGACAGCTGTCCAAGTCCCCATTGCTGGTGACGGATTACTCACTAAGATCCATGGGGTAGCAGCAAGTCTTTTATCTTGCCCTGGATAGGTGACAGGTGTTCAGGGAGGGCTCAGTGGGGCCTTTCTTGCGAATAGGGCTCTCAATTTTGTTGCAGACAGATCTGACTGGCCGTCTAGCTGGCCCTCTCTCATGACCGGTTGCTGCTGCTGGCAGAGTGTGGGAGCTCCATGAGGCTGTGGGTCAGAGTACCCTATCAGGTCCCCCAGTGTGGTAACAGCCTTGTCAGATTTCTTATGTGGCCTGGCTTTGCTTAGAATGAGTATCTCAAAGGACCAGGTGGGAGTTGCCTGGCCCCTCCTGACCTGGCCTTGAAGACCCAGCCCATTTCCACTGCAACCTGTGGGGTGCCCAGATTCAAGGGGAGGGGACAGACCCTTCTCTCATTGGCCATTCCAAAGGATTTACACCTCACTGTGACCGGGGTGCATTGATCTGAATCCTGCCCTCATCCATGGGATGGGGTGGGGTGGGGACAGGGCAGGCAAGGCCATCTGAGGCCCTCTGCTCTGCAAGTAACCAGTGGCGTCCTGGTGCCTTCTTTGTGATCTGCTGCTGATTGGTCCTTGGGGACGTGTCTGTTTCCAAACATTGCTCAGCCCTCCAGGGAGCTCTGACGCTCTGCTTACACCCCAGGGGTTACCTGGGGCTTGGAAGGGGGTCCAGCTCCCATGCACAGGCCCAGTTGGGGGAAAGGCCTCTTGCTGCCCCACCCTGAGGATGGCTGTCCCCATTTCTAGTGAACCACAGAAGAGAGAAAACAAGAACCGAAAAAGGTCAACTAGGGGTGATCATTAAGGAACAAGAGGCAGTGGGTGTAGGGCTCAGAGCTCAGTTCTGACCTGCTTCTCCTAGAAGGTTCCCCATACCCTGTGAAGTGATTCCCAAAAGACATGTCCCTGCCATAGGACCTGTGGATGTGACCTGAGTTGGAAAAAGGGTTTTTAGAGAGGTGATTAAGTTAAAAATCATCATGGATGGAGGTGGACCCCAAATTCCACAACAGGTGTAAGAGAAGGATTTGAGATGGAGAAAGCAGTGAAGATGAGGCAGGGCTGGGAGTGGCCACAAGCTGAGGACAGCTCAGGACCCTGGGAGCTGGAAGAGGCAGGAAGGACTGGCAGGGCTTTGAGGGGGCAGGGTCTGCCACACCCCGACCTCAGGATGGAGCTGTGTTGAGCACGTAGTCCATGGGGTGCAACAGGTTCAGGACTCAAGTCCACCCTCCTCCCCACTCCACGTGCTGCTCCTCTTCGCTGTGAGCCTTCGGGGGTGAGTGCTGTGTCCCCAGTGCCAGTGTGGCCCTCATGCAGCAGGTGCTCCATTAGTGGTGAATTGGCCTTCCCTGGTGGTTCCCAGCCTGAAGCAGAACCAGGTGAGGGCCTGCACGGCTCTCCAAGTCACGCACAGAGTCCACACTCCTGACCCCTGCTCTGTGCTGCCCCAGGCAGAGGCCAGGGGGCTTTGTGGCTCTCTCCCGTGTGTGGATTCTGTGTCCAGTCCTGTTCCTGTCCACCCCAGGGGCTTGAGTACAACCTCCTGATCCCTCCTTCTTTCCAGTGGTCTCCGGGGAGCTTTGAGGTACCCCACAAGGGCAGCTTGCCGAGCTACAGGGCTGGGCTCTGCCACCTCTCCCCAGACTGGCAGGTGTGGCTCCCAAGGGCAGGGCAGGGAGGCAGGTGTTGCCCTGAGGCCGAAAGCACACATGGGAGTCTGGGTGCGGGAGAACTCAGCAGGCAGAGCCTGGCAGATCCCTTTCACCCAGGAGCCCGGGAGGGGACTTTTCTGCCTGTGCAGATTGCTGGGTGGTGAGAGGCCCCTTGGAACGGAGGCTGACAATTTGCACGGGTTTTTCTGGGAAATCCAAGAGAGCCAGAGCAGACATTGATGAGTCTTTCTTTGCTCCTTGGCTCATCCCCATGTCTGATGTCACTATTGAGGCTATGCCAAGCCACAGAGGGTGTGCACCGGCATGGGCAGGGCACACTGCAGTCCTTCAGATCTTCAGATAAATCCTGAAACATAAAAGTGGGTGTGAAGCAACTGAGCGGTAAGGACACAGTGATACCACATGGGCTGAACTTTCAAGCAAACCTGGAGATATCAGTTCTAAGAGACCCACAGGCAGAAATAAGGCCGGGAGAGCCACAGTGGGTCCGGGAGGGAGCAGAGGCGGGAAGGCCCCTCCTGTGTGGGCTCTAGCTGGGTCCGTTTGAAGGTAATACCTGCAACACAGTGTTAGCATCTGTGTAATGGGTATGTAGGAATTTGCTAGATTCTTTCTTTTTGGGGAGCAGTCTAGGGTTTGAACTCAGGGCCTCGTGCTTGCGAGGCGGGCGCTCTACTGCTTAAGCCATGCCTCCAGTCCCTAATATAGATGTTTAAGCATGGTTTTTAACTCTGACAAACAAGGAAAGTCACAAAGGGCACCCAGAAGCCAGGGGAAGGAATGTTACCTGCACCAGGTGACCTGGTTTGAGGTACACCTGGTGGAAGAGGCAGTGAGAAGCTAGGGAAAAGTGGACTGAGCACCTCACAGAGGCCCGGTGGAGAGCAGGAAACCCAGCTCTACAAAATGAGGCTGGTCCCTGTTGGGAACTGAACGCGGACTGAAGGATCCAGAGGAAGAATGTCTGTCCTCAGGAGCTCTGAGCGCCCGTCTGAACAGCCTCCCTGGGGCCAGGGTGGGCACCAGCTCCTAAGCCCTGCACCACCCTGCCCTGGCCCGGACATTCTGCTGCTACAGCAGCAAGGCATCTTCTGCACCGGTCAGCCCCTCCAACCTATGGCCCAGTGTCTGGTAAACAACAGGAGCCCAATAATTACTCAGGTAATTACTCATGGCTTGTGAGCCATGGTCTTGGCAGAAGGGTTCCCCCACCTGGGTCATAAGCAAGCTGGCCAGGTGATTGATTCTCAGACCCTCTAATGAGGATGTCCTTCCAGAGGGTGGGGCCTAGAGATGCTTTGTCCGGTCTAGGGACAGCAGTTTAGGGTCACCTGGAGACTTGTGTAAAAGGCAAAGTCCACAAGCCACTTCCCAGGCCCACTGGGCCAGCACCTCCAGCATGGGAGCACAGCAGGCTGTGTAACAGGCACTTCGGGCTCAGCTGGTGCCTAAGCCCGAGGACCACTGCTTTGACCACAGCCCACCTCCTCCTGTTGGCCAG